ATATTACTCTATTTAATAGATGAGAATAAAGGAGCTTAGGGTCAAGAGGGCATTTCCGTCATTTCCAGTGTACAATATTGCTTCATCTGATTTGGAGCCCATTGATTATACACGTGTACTCATTTGCTCTTTCTTGAGGAAATTTCTACAGGTTCTTTGTTTCTCCTTCTCTACATCTTTCGCTTTTCCTTTTCTTCCTTTCCACTTCTTGGTTTATCATCATCTTCCTCCCTCTGTATTTCCTTCGTTTTGGGTGTCCTGTTACTGAAATTGCTGCTCAATTTTATATTCACTGGTTGTACAGTTAACTACCACGTAAGAGTTTTCTACTCTTTTCTCTTCGCTTTATATTGTCTTTGGGTTTCAATTTCAAAAATATATTTGATGGCAACTTCTTTCACTGCAAGCTTTAGTTTGCTTCCCCTGATAATTTTTGGTTACATTTACTTATAATATAATTTTTAACTACTTGGTGATTAGGTCCTCAAACATCTACGAAAACACTAACAAATTTTTTTCCCGTAAATTAAAACATGCAAAAAGGAATCTAGTCAATACAAAATATATTACTACTACTATTATTTTAAAAAATATATATATATTCTATAATTATTATTTTTTATTTATTTATTTATTTATTTTTCTCTCCCTATGGTGTAGGCTTTTAATTTGTGTCACAACCCATACCGTCGTGATCGACACCCACACTAATACTTTGGTGGGTCGGAGAACCATTGCTACTAACCAACTAACCCCAAAACTAAACATTTAAAGATACAAAAGAAAGTTTAAATGCAAAAATAAAGTGGAGTTCCCATAAACTCCGAAAGTTTAACAAAATCGTTACCAAACATTACGGAAAATACCCCTAGAATCTGAAAGTCAATGTGTCAAGCCCCGAGCCTACACCTCGGACGTAGCTGGCACTCGAGAACCATTGCTGGCCCCAAGCGAACCCTTGGCCTGGCTTACTTACTGATCAACGGAAGAATTAAAACACAAGAAAAATTCTAAATAAAGAACTTGTGAAATAAACTCAGAATGCCTTAAAAGAAACATTCAAACTAGCCAAGGTGGCAACTCAAGTGTCACGACCCGATTTCTCGAATCATGATGGCACCTACTGTACCCTACCAGTAGGTAAGCCAACCCGTAACCCAGAACATCAAGCAATGAGCGTAAGGGTAGAAACTAGCGAAAACAATAAACTAAACAAGGCGGAAGCAAATCAAAATAAATATATACAGAAATCCCTCCCAAAAACCTGAAAGTCACTAGTACAGAGCTATCTAATAAAGAGTACAAGTCCCAAAATTGGACCACACAAAGCGTGTCTCAAAAGCAACAAGACTAGCTAAAACAAAAGAAGGAGACAGAACAAACCCAAAACGCCAAGTGACTCGCCCTCGTCTTCGAGTCACAACTGCAAAAGAAGGCTGGAACTAATCACTGCTGGTAACTGGTACTGGGACCTGCATCACAAAGTAGATGCAGAGTGTAGCATGAGTACCAAAACAATAGTTCAATTAGTGTAAATTACTACCATTTGAACGTGGTTAACTAAGAATAATATTTGATCCCAATGTAAGTCTTTTCATCTCCTTAGGAGTTAAAAGGACCTTTGGTTTGCCTTCTAGTCTCATCAACAACTTATATAAATGAACTTTTAAAAGAAGAAGCGATACTTCTATAATCACCTTTTGTAAGTTCATGTAGTCATTTTTCGTTTTTGTTTCTTAGAGTTCCATTCCTTATATTATGATTCCCCCCCCCCCCCCCCTTACCCTTCAAGAAGTACATTGTAGATGTCTTCTTCATTAATAAATTGCATTACTTCATAAATAAACAAATAAAATCACAGACTATAGGTTGCATTTTTGTATTCAAGTGAAGAGTTAGTAGTCATATTTATCTTTTCTGCAAGTTTATTCTTCCTCATATATTGTTAATGATCTAGCCATAGTTGAACCTAATTTTTAATTCTTTGTTTAATAGTACTTCTTAATTGAAATATTTTTCTTATGGAACATAACATGTGAAGAGGTTGTCAAATATCTAGAATTTGTTTATCCAAGATAAGAATTCATGTATTAAGTTTTTTGTATGTATTAAAGTGAAACCCAACAGGTTCTATTTTTTCAGTTATGAGAAGAAAAAAATCCCTCAAGTGATTTAGCTTTTAATTAAAGTTATCTTTCTGATTAAACTATTTTGTGGTACAAACTTAAAATAAAAATTGAAGATCAACATGCAACGCACATTCACGAAAAATAGCATAATGCAACTGGAACCACTGCACATAGCTAGCTGAGAAAAGAAACCCCATGTATATTCTACATTGTCTTATTTATAAGCTGTATAGATGCCCTAGTAGGCTCATTGTCTTTAATCTGTCCACTCATACTGATCAAAACCAACATATTCTACATTACAATTCACATATAGAACAACATTTATGAAAAAAGTGGCCGAGTTTGTTTGGCCTATCTATGTGAAGACTACATTAAACGAAAAAATCCAAAAAACAAATCACTCCCATTTGCAAGAGAAACTAGTCTTCAAGAGGCATATCAAATCTACTTCAACTGAAAGCAAACCCCTGCACAAACCATGAGATAATTAGATTCAAGAATCATAGCAGGTGGTTTTCAAGGAATAGAACACCAGTAAATCGTCATACCTTGTCACAATACTCAAACATATCATCTAGCTTTCTTCTGTACTAGTTAGGTCCTAAAAATCATGGGCTTTGGGAACTCTATACCCGATTGAAGAATATCTCAATTAATATTGGAGAGATGAAAACCAGAGGTATTCTTATCAAATGAAACTACAAACTATAGAAGCATGCACCCCTGTTTGGCCTTTGTTAGAGGTAGCAGCAACCTAATTTTCCGATTCTTAACTATCTGATTACACAGCTTCATACTTGTTTAGGCAAACTATATGAAGTTCCACATTGTGCTATGACCAAATTTTTATGCCCAATAATAACCTTAGCATGTTCAAAGCTATTATTCTTTATTGTTCCCTTAAAAGCAAATTAACCAGTTGAATACAGTACTCTTTCAGGCATCACTTTCATCTAATTGCTCAAGAAACAAGAATGTGACATCTAGATACAGACTAAACAACTACAAACATAATTTTGAGAATTTTGCTACCTTCGTATAAGCATAGACTGTTCCCTCAGTTGGTGCTGGAGGTCTTCCTCTGCAAATAAACCTTCCTTCTTTGAATATGTAAAGCATGGGGATTCCAGTGGCAAGCTCCAAACTTATAACCTGATAAGAAGAGTTTCAATTCGTAATGTTTCCTAACAGGACAACAAGAAAACAAAAAAAAATGCAAGAGATTCCAATGAGTTTGAAATTCCACCTCTTGGGAAATTAGCTTGTCAAGATACATATTGATGGACCTCAATGAGTTCCCATGGGCTGCAATCATTATATTTTTTTTTCCACTTGCCAGTTGGAGTTCAATCTGCAACATTACAGCAACAATGTCATTTCATAAAACCTAAAACAGGATTGATAATATGATGGAACAGAAATATGCTTCAGCTTACATGCTCTGTGAAGTAGGCAACAGCTCTCTCTGCACAGATTTCCAAACTTTCTCCGTTCATAGGAGGAATATCATAGCTACGACGCCACTCATGAGCCTGCTCACTTCCATATTTATCAGCTGTTTCTTGCTTATTAAGACCTTGTAATTCCTAACAAATATCTGTGAAAATATATGTCTTAAACTCCCAACAAAGTTCTGCACAAGCGATCTCTAACCCTGTTGATCAATGAGACAATGTGTATCCTTCATCCAGTGCCTTTGAGACATGGACTTAGGATCAGCCCTTTCAGCTAATTCTAATTTGTACTAAACCAGTGATGTTAAGTGATCAGGCAAAAATAATTCATACTCATTGTTACGACCCGATTTCGAAAACTAAGGTTTCGAAACCATTTCTGCAACTTTGGCAATTTATGTTAATTTTGGAAAATAACAATTTAGAAGTCGCCACTTAAATCTTTTTGGAAAAATTAAGAAAACCATTTAAATAAGGGGATTTTTGAAAGAAAACATTTTAAATAAAACTAGAGTTGAGTAAAGGTTTAATTAATTCTCTAAGGAAGGGTTTAGGCATTTTAGAGAATCCGCTAACATGGGATTGACCGGCGGATTTTAATAAATTTGGCTAATTTTTTAAATTACTTGTAAAAATCTTATGAAAATAAATAGAGATCAATTATACTTAACAAATAATGAATTTTTTTATTATTTTTTTTAAAAAAAAAAAAGGTTAGAGTGCCGAAAACATTTGTAACTTGATAATTTATCCGAGTTAAAGATTTTAAACCAAAGAAATAGTTCAAATTCATTAACGTTAATTCAAAGCTTTTTAGTAACTATGAAAAAACATGAATGGTTCTCAAGTTATTCTATAAGCTTAAGTTGCCCAAGAACAAACTGTGTTGATACATAATTAGGCAAACCACCCTTTTGAAATAAAAATTGATAAATAGCGTCAACTCTTATGAGGATTCATCCAAGGTAATAACAAGTTAATAAAAAGGGTTAGATGTCATAATAACAAGGAAGGCAGAGAAGTAATACAAAGAAAAGTCTGGACTTTTGGTCCAAATTCAGCCGTTGCCTCCTTTTCTTCTATGTAGCATCTGTGTTTTCGGACTTTTGAGTCCATAAATTTTTCTTTGTATCGCTGTTGTTGCAAGTTCAAATTGGACTTTTTAAGTCCAAAATTCCACCTTCATAACCCCTTTAGCTGCTGCTTCTGATTTTTGGGTTTTAACCCAATTTCGCTCCTTGTTTTTCGGCCTTTCGAAGTTGCTGGTGCTGCTGGTTTTCAGGCAGCTTTAACCCAATGTATTTACTTCTCTCTCAACTTGGTAGAGGTTGCCTCGAAAAGAAGAATATGCAAGAGATGGGAAGTCCAAGTGGACTCAATGGAAGAGTTCATGCGTCTGGTTCTGGGCAGCGAACCGAAAAACGAGTTCAACAGAGACGATTCCACCTCTTTAACTCGAAAAACCACAAAAACTTTAAACTATTGAACTGAGAATTTCCAAACCTTATAGGGTACTCTCAGGTCTCAAAACGTCTCCTTTGAACAGTAAGAAGGAGGCTATTTATAGGGGTTGAGAAATCTGAAAAAATACAGCCTAGAATCGATGTGGGACTGGGAGTAATTTGAAAATTCTTGACTGGATAAAGCTTGGGGTGAGCATGAATCGTACCAATTCAAATGAAATTGAATGAAGGATCGTTTGGTTCCAAGGGAAGGACGAGTGAGGTGCGAGATTTCGATACCTGGTCGATTCTCGAAACGGTCTGGTAGGGGAGATAAGGGGAACGCGCGACTGGTCGGGTCCCTAGGCTGCTGGATCGCTGAAGCTGGGTTTATTTTCTGGTTTGCTGGCTCAGGCGTCTGGACTGCCAGGAAGAAAAAGAACGGGTGAAGGTGTAGTCACATATGTTGCTGTACTGTTTGGGTATTGGGCCGGGTCAGGTGATTTCAGGCTAGAGAAAAATTGGGTCTTCTCTTTTATTTGGATTGAAATGTTGAGGGTCCAATTCAAATTCAAAGGAAATAGGTCCCCTGAGTCTTGAAAATAGTAAGATGACAATATTTGAAATGAAATAAATTATGTATCTAATCAATTAATAAGCTTCTTGATTTTACAAATGTGAAATAATTAACTAATTATCGAAAATAAGACTAATTGCAACACTAGTTAAAATTTTGCTTAGTTTAAGGAAAAATAAGATAAGTATTAAGTTAAACATTATTTTTTGAGACGAATTCTTAAAATATTTATAAAACCTCAAAGTCATAAACAAAACTTATATGTATATAAATATAGAAATATATAATTGCTTCTAAAAACAAAACAAAACCAAGCCTGAAAACATTTTTAGATTTTTCAAAAACAATTATTTCCAATTGTTTAAAATTTAAGAAGCTTAAAAATTAATCAAATTGTGGAGGGTCAAAATTGGGTGTCAACAACTGCCCATCGTTTGCTTAGAATCGATGAAAGAGATTCGAGGCAAACGAAATTGACGAATCCAATTTTGCCCGTCCACCAATTCATCTCTTCGAAACGGTGAATGGTATGAATTTTGAGGGATTATGCTCGGACCCTGGCATTGAATTTCCTACATATCTCAGGTTACATAAGAACTCGGGCCACTTGTAGTTCAAAAGACGCTTGATTATAAGCACGATTTAGAAAGAATTGCAAAAGTTATTCCGGTGTCAAAGTATGGGGACATCAAAAAACTCGAGAATTGAAAGGGGAGAGATTCGTTGGACTACAGTCGAGTTTTCAACATCGAATCATCCTACATATCCCTTAACTTAGGGAATCAGACTGCTTGTAGTTCGACTCAATCGGTTGAAAAAGGAAATCTCATATGCGGATTTAACCTTTAGCTTAAGGATGAGTGACAAATTAATTGAGCGTGGAAAAGAGACTTGCAAACATCTCAACAATGAATGTGGGGCCCTTCACACCCATATGTAAGAACTTACATGGACATAACTTCCAAAGCTCTAGGTGTATTGTCACTCGAATTTGAAATTTTGCCTTCGGTAAGAGTTGAAATTTTCACTGAAGGCGAAATTGAAACTATTAAACCCAAGAAAATAACCACACGCCTTGGATATGGATGTGGTTTGATTGTGGTGGAAGTCGCTCCTCAACTCGCGTCCTAAGAGTTTGATATTCCTCATTGGAGTATGTCTCCATTCGCTACTAAGAAAAAGTTTCACGTTGTGCTGGGTCCTATTTGGCGTAGTCCACTTCGTGTATTGCAAAATATGGAGAAAATTGTCATTAGAAAACGTGATATAAATACAAATATAATTTGTGCAAACATGGTTTAACATGCCATACTGAAGGGGATGACGATCCAATTTCAAGTGTATTGCTCTTGAAAGAAGTAGTGATCCAAAGTGATGTGTCGATTTAAACGGGGCGATGATTCAATAACACAATATAATGTCACTTTTTAGGGACATGACATCCCAACGTGTCACTTTTTAAAGAGGTGACGTCCTAACGTGTCACTTTTTAGGGAGGTGACGTCCCGACGTGTCATTTTTTAAGGAGGTGATTTCCCAATATAATATAACCTTGTGCTTAAGAGAGGTAATGTCCCAAAAAAAAAAATGTGTCACTTTGAGGGAAGTGATTGTTCAATATAATATAATGTGTCACGTTGAGGGAAGTGACACTCCAATAATAATTTAACGTATCACATTAAAGGAAGTGACGCTCCAATAATAATTTAACATGTCACGTTGAAGGAAGTGACGCTCCAATAATAATTTAACGTGTCACGTTAAAGGAAGTGACTCTCCAATAATAATTTAACGTACCACATTGAAGGAAGTGACGCTCCAATAATACAACGTGTCACGTTAAAGGAAGTGACGCTCAAATAATAAAACCCTATGATAAAGAACAAATCTCAAAATAGGGAATATGGTTATAACATGGTAATTTGATTAGCTTATCGTAGTTTGTGAAGTCGATAACATCTCTGGTTGTCATTAAAACTTTGTCGACCCTGCGCTTATAAAAAAATTGTTAGTTAAGAACAGAGAGATTAACAAATGCCAAGACTTTTAAACGGGTCAAGACGATCTAGCCAAGGAGAACGAAAGAATTTGGAAGAATAATTTTGAGAACTTATAATGTTGAAATGAGGCGCAAAAGTCCGATTAGGGATTTCACATGAGGTGAATCTCTACTTTAAAAAGATCTCTTGCAAAGAGAAAACTCGCTTGACACAGAATATCTTTGAAACATGAGGTTGAACAGAGATTTTGAGAACTTTGAACTATTTCAAAAAGTTGCCTCTGTTTCCAGTCCAAGAGTACTTAACTGAAATAATTTGCAAAAAATGAAGAATGACTGATTCAAAAAGATGCCCCAATTTCCTCTAAGGACTGTAATTCGAAACAATAGGAAGACTGAATCCTTATATAGGATTGCCTACGTATCTTGCTGGAACAAGAAATCAAGTCTGACGTAGTTCGAATATGAAACTTAGAAGAATTCTTGTAGAGAGAAAAAAAAATGCCTTAAAAAGGGAAAAAAATATTTGAAATAACGAAAGACAAATTTCGTCAACAGAAAATAGAGGATAAGATTCAGCTTGCAGGACTGGATCCTCGGTGTCGGGAATCCTTCAAATTGAGATTTGAAAAAGGTTGGCTCCTGCCATTTTTCTGGTTATCTGATTTTAACATTCAAAACTTCAGAAGATTTTCTGAAATTTTGCCTTCAATTCTGGTAATGATCCCTACAAAACTCAGTCGTAAGTTAGTAACAAAATAAAATTATCAAAGTAAATGATATAACAAAAGATAAGTTAAGGATGAAGGTGTTCAGCTTATATTAGTCTGGATAACATCTTATGGCCTTCGCCATTGTGCCGAGTTATTCCATCTGTAGAATTGAGAATATGTGAGTCACAATAAATTGAAAGGAAAAATTTAAAAGATGAGTAAGATTAGAAATCATCTGAGCTATGACGAGGCCATTGTGGGTCCAATAATGCCTTGTAACTTTGTAGTTCCTGCATCCAAAGAAAATTTATTAGTTTTGAGAGACTAATTCATGTTGGTTTTGTCTTGCCATCCTGATGCTCCTTTGCCTTCTGGATTACAAGCTTATCTGGTTTTAAAATGTCGCTTGATGGAATTTTTGAAGACCTTCTCAAAAATTCTGTCCAAGTTTAAAACATAAAATAAACTTTGAACTTCTGTAGTTTTTAGTTGAATTTTTTGAGTGAATCTCAAAAATTGTACCCCAGTTGCAACTTTGAAGTGATCCTTGATTCTGACTTGTTGGAAAAAATTCCTCTTTTAACGAATTTTGAAATCCTCTCAAAATTCTGCCCCAGTTTTCATTATAAAGGAAAATGAAAAACTTACGGGGAATATGACCGAGCCGGTGTGGCGCTTATGTATCCCGTTGAGCAGGAATCAGGTCAAACGTAGTTACAAGTAAAAGGAAACATTAAAAATGGATAATGGGTGATTGAAGCCGACATAGGTCGCCTAGGTATCTTATTCTTCAGAATTCAGGTCAGACGTAGTTCATTACAAGATGAAAGATGCTTACAACGGAAATCAAATCCAAACAAACGATTACAAAGGAAACAAAGCAATGAAAAGGCGATTACAGGAAACGAAACAACAAACTCCAAATGCAAGACTAAAAGATGCCAAAAGCGTGACTTACAGGAAACTTGTTTCTTTTTTGCAACTGGTTATGCCAACAACTACTCCTTATGATTGGGTAGCGATTGATGTTCACATTCGGTGGAGCTTGAGCAAGTTTTACCACCTCGTTGTCAATGAGATCTTAAATTTTGTGTTTGAGAGTGATACACTTCTCGGTATTATGTCCAACGACTCCTGAATGATAAGCACAACGCTTATTTGGGTCATACCACTCAGCTGAAGTATTCACAGTCTTGGCTTCCACTGGATGTAGTATCCCTGCCTATTTCAATCTCTCAAAAAGTTGAGTTCATGTCTCACACAAGGGAGTGAAGACTCCGGAGGCTTTTTCTCAAAATTAGGATGATGTGCATTATTTCGATGATTTTTCATTAGCCGTGGAGGACGATGTCACACCCTTTTTTGCGCACAGCGGTGGAAGGGTTTTTCCAATTTAAGTGACGGTATTGATTTAAGGATTGTTTTATATTTTTGTTTCAGAGTCGCCACTTGGAATTGAGTTATGGTGTTCCAAGTCACCTTTTGTTTAATCCCTAATCAAAAGGAAATGACTCTTTATATGGTCTGCGAACTAGAAATTTGGGTAAGGAATTCTGTTGACCGATGGAAAGGTATTAGGCATCCCTCGAGTCCTGTGGTTCTAGTACGGTCGCTTTTATTGACTTCTACCTACTTTAAATCATTTGTGGATATATTATTTTCAAGCCATGACTTGTTTGCATTTTTATTGTTGAACTTTTATTTGGTCTCAAATTGAATGCATAACTGCATTCTTGACTTTTGACATATAAATAGCTTATGAGCATAATTGTTTTCTTCTCTCGAGTGCATCACCTAATTTTATCTATAAGTGATCTTATTTTAGATTAATGAAAGTTATTATATTTTTGGACAAGGTGCGTCACCGCATTCTTGAGTTTTTTTTTCAATATCTCAAAAAAGATGCGCAACTGAAAGTTATTATATTTTGGACAAGGTGCGTCACCGCATCCTTGAGTTTTTTTTTTTCAATGTCTCAAAAAAGATGCGCAACCGCATTCTTAATTTTTTACAAATATTTTTAACGTGCATAATACTCATATAGTATTAAAGTACTTACTCTTATTTTTTCTGAATTCTAGACAACTAATCTTCTCATTTCATTATTATATTTATTGATGATACTTTTAATTAATTAATCCACATGTTAAAATATATATTAGAATAATTTTATCAAGGTGTGTCACCACATCCTTAAATTTCTTTTAAGTGTTTTCAAAAAAAGATGTGTAACCACATTCTTAATTGAAACAAATATTAT